ACTAAAAGGGAAAAAGGATTTTTGTTTTAAAGTAAAAGGGAATTTTAAAAAATATTTTTATTATTATTTATTTTCCTTATTCAAATTTTCAAAAATATTTTTCTTTCTCATTTTAACCCCTTTTTATTGTCTTAAAAATACTAAAAATTTTGTAAAATTATAAAATTATTTTATTAATTCACTTCCGTTATCCTTTATTTAATAATAAAATGTTAATTTTTGCGTGATTCTTTCGACTTCCTCTTTTTTTGCACTAAGGCGGGGGTGGCGCGAATGAAAATCTAAACAACAAAATTTCAAAAAATATTTTTTTTCTTTAATAAATGGTTGCTAATTTAATTTTTTATTAAAACAAATAAAATATATTTAAATTTTTTTGTTAAAGTGTAGATTAATTGAAAATGAGCACGCAATTTTTAAATTTTAGAATTTAAAAGAAAATTATAAAATAATTCGCAATATTCATTTTCTATTAAATATTTTTTAAAATATTTGCCAAATATATTTCTTTGTTACAACGGTTATTAAATTTTCGAAAAGCAAAGCTCATAATGATAAAATAAAATTTAAAAATACTAGTTATGGAAGTAAAGCAGGCAACAAACTTTGATTCAGATAGCTTTCAAAAATGGGGTTTAACTGGGGGGGGGGGGGGGTTTGCATGGGGTTTAACTGTTTTATTTTAAATTATTTAATTGTTAGGAACAGTTTCTAAAATTTTTTTAGTTTGAAATAAAAACTAAAATATTTTCAAAAAATTTTCGGGGACTACATACATTAAGGTTTGCGGATTATTAAGGTTGGCGGATCCGGATATCCGGATCCGAAAAAAGGCCGGATATCCGAAATTTTCGGTTCGGATACCGGATCCGGATATCCGAAGATTTCCAACTATCCGCCAACCTTAATGTTTATCTCATTCTATTTATTTTTTTATTTTTTTATTTTTTATTTATTTAAATAAAAATAATTTTTGTCGTAAGCATTTAAAAAAATAATATGCAATATCCTGTTTGTTTTTGTCCTTCTTATTTTTTTATTAAAAACTCGTGGTTAGTTGCGCATTTAAATATTTATTTTACCTACATTCTGAAAGCGTTGGTGTGTTTGTTTGTGTGTACTTAAATAATTATCTACCTATTTTTTGAATATTTTTTTAAAAATTATTTTCTTCTTTTATTTTGCTAAAAATAAAAAAATAAATAAAAGAAACAATTAAAATCTAAAAAAGGCCATTTTTTGCTAAAGAAACACCTTTTTTAAATAAAAAATAATAATAAGGCAATGACCTAACAAATACTTTTTAAATACGTAGTAGACACTTATTCTCTCACAATAATATAAAAATAAAAATTATTTCTTAAATTTGTTTCACATTTTTATTCAAAAAATTTCTGAGAAATTAACCAATTTTATTTTAAAATTCTCTCAAAATCTTAATAAAAATTTTTATTTATATAAAGTTATTAAATTTAAAGAGTTATTACTATTAGTCTAGACACGTACATAAACTGTTTAAGTGTACGTTAACTGTTTCAGAATTTTTATTTATTTCAGAATTTAGAGTTAATTATTAAATTAATTTCTGAAATTTTAAAAAGTTTGAATTAATCATTTGCCGTATTTACTCGATTAATTCCAATGGGGAATTATTTTTTCAACCCATCCGTAGCATGGGGATTTATTCAGGTGGGGGGAGGAATTATTCGAGTTTTGACATTTGAACGTGTAGTAGGGTATTTGGGGGAGGGGATTATTATTTCAACCCATCCGTAGCAGGGGGAATTATTCGAGAGAGGGGAATTAATCGAGTAAATACGGTAAATTAATTAATTAAATTACTAATTTCCAAAAATTTAAGTAATATTTAATAATATTTTTATTTTTGTAGCACTTAATCCTCTTTAAATTTAATTTAAAAAATAATTTTGTTAATTTATTTAAATATTTAAACAAACAAAACGTCACCTTTTCCCAAAAAAGTTAACAATTTTTTGTTTAGCTAAAAGGTTTATTTAAACAATTTTCGAGAGAGTTGAAAATTTAACTGTCTATTTAATTCACTTCCTTTTTTTACCTTTAAGTGGGAAAATTTATTTTTTAAAAAGGAGTTTTTTTATTTATAAAAAAAAAGAATTTTTATTTGTTAAAATATTTATATTTTATTTAATATGAAAAAAAGTATACATAGTTTATATGTATTAAATTTTAAAGGTTACTTATATTTTTTTAAAATCATAATTTTATTTAAAAAAAAATTGTAAAACAATAAAAAAACAATTTCCGTTGACCTCATATATTTTCTTCTCCTTTTTTCATTTACTCTTTGAACATAAATAAATAATTACAATTATAATTTCCGTTTTAGAACCTTTCATTCTTTTTTTTTGTTTTTATTTGTTGACAGCTTTTTGATGAGAATTAGTAAGTTCTTCTTCTCTTTTATTTGTTTTTCTGCAAAATTTTATTTAAAATTAAAAAAATATAAATAATCGCGCAACCTTTTTCCTTCCCCTCTCTCTCACATTTTCCCGCCGGAAACTGCTTGAAGGCAAAAAAGTAAAGGTTTTTTTGCTTGATTTGCCTTCTCTGAATTATTTTTTATATTTTTTTGTTGTTTGTGCCCTCCTTTTCTTTTAAATAAAATTAATATAAATGTGTTAAATAAATAAATATATTTTATATTTTACGTAATTTCAATTAGTAAAGGAAGCCTTACATGTCAGGACAACAACATTTTTGCTTATTATTTCATTTTATTTGCATTTATTAGCCCAAAGCTTTTATTTGATTTTTAATTTCCAAAAAAAATTTTTTATATAAAAATACCTGAGCCGGATACATGTATTAGATATAATATTTTAGTTGCTATTCCCCCTTCAAATTTCGTTTATTTTAAATTCCCCATAATAAACACCTAAATGTCATTAAGTGTATCAAACTGTATAAAGTATGTACTTTAATTTTCAAAAAATAATTTACATATTTATTTAATTTTTAAATTAAAAATATATTTAAATTTATTTTTAATTCTTAGATAATAATAATTTTAATATTAACCTCCTCCTCCACTAAATTAAAAAAAATGTCTACAGAACAACAAAATACTATTAATAATACAAACTTAACTAAAAATCTAAAAATAATTAAAAACAAAAATAGAATATATTTAAATAATTCTGCTTCTTTTTATGGAAATTTATTTATTTTATTAATTAGTTTATTATTTTTAACTAAAATGGTTAAATCAACAACAGAAATTAATAATTCAAAAAATTCTGTTGAATCCGAAGATGTTTCTTCTGATACATGTGATATTCACGCTAATGATTCTTTACACGGTAATTCCTAAACTGATCAAAAATTCCACATTTTTTAATCTCTCTAACACATTCCGAAACAAAACACCTATCTTTTTCTATGCCTGCTTAAGTCGAGACAAAAATAACACTCCAAAGGGTGTTTTAGCCTGATTTATCCCCCTCTCTTATAACATTTACCTTCATATGTAAGCTAAGTTAGGTCCCGAGAAGTTATGTCTTAGTAGATATATTGCTAATGATATTTATTAGATATCAGAGAGATATCTTTCAAAAACCTCGTTTTGTTCTCATAAGCCCGACGGCCTATTTTACATCACTAAATAGCGTCACAATTACCGAATTTCCCATAAACATTTTAAAAATTTTCCATAAATAAATAATTTACGTATTTTTAGCATTAATGGATCGAATATGTGAATTATGTCATGATATGTACAGTCACCAACAACCAAATATGAGAGCTGATTGCAGGTATATATTTATAAATATTTAAATTTTAATTAATTTTAATTCCTTCTAGATCTGATTGTTTTAGAAATACCAACTTTAAACGATGCCTTCGATTGTTTAAACCAACAGGAAGAAGTTCTGCTCAAAGGCACAGAATGCGTTTCTTAGAAGAATCATTACATTCCTTTTTAATTGCTTGAAATTATTATGAAAATATTTTATTTTTAATTTTTACCAAAAAAATATGATCTCATTTCTTTTCATATTTTTATTTTCTCACCTCTTTAATGTTAAAAATAATTTTTACAAAATTTTATATATTCATATCAATAAATATTGTTAGAATTTTATTTTTGTTTGAGTAACCTTGTGTACGTACATATGACAAAAGAATTCATATACATACTATAAATTTAATTTTTGATAAAATTAAAATTTAAATCGAAAATCTAATTTTAAATCGAATTTCCATCAAACTGCTTGATCAAAATTAATTTTTAACAATTAACATGTTTATAATTTTAATGAATAAAACACACAATAAAAGAGTTTTGAAGATAAAATATCATACATTTTGTTGAAATATAAAAAAACAAACAAAACAATTATTTTTAAAATAATTTTCAATTAATTTAGTTAAAATAAACAAACAAACATGTTTAAATGCCTTAGAAGATTTCATAACTCCCCGATTCCCTATTTCAGACTTTTTTCACATGTCTATGTCACACAAAACAATTTTTATTTTTGTCTAAAAATATATTTATTTTAAGTGCATTTTTAATAGATAAAAAAGCAAAGCCGGCAAATAAAAAATTAATTTCATTGAAATTATAAGGGCAAATTGACGTTAATGATTTTTAATGTTTAAATAAAAGGGAAGACGCCGATGTTTATAAAAAAATAAATTTTTATATATGGATTTATTTTATTTATTATTTCCTATCAAATGCCTTTACAAGTCCTCTATTTATTTTATCACTCTTAGCAGCCAGATTTTATTTATCCATTTAAAAAATAAATTTATTTAATTTTCCTTAATTCTTTTTAATTTTATCAAAACCCCTAGAAAATTAGAAATCCATAAAAAAAGATTCGACTATTTTTGTAGAATATTTAGATTTACTTTATTTAATATTAAAATATTTTTTATCCTCCGAATAATTTTATTTCATTTTTTTAAATTTTAATAATTTTATTAAAAAAATATTTTTTAGTAAAATAAAAATGAAATTTTTAACAAATTTGACATTTTTTAAAATTTATTTTTTAATTATTTTATTTTTAAATTTTTGTCAATCAAAAAGAAATATTTTTGTAGAATTTTTTAATAAAACGGGAAAATCAAAAAATGTTCAAATTGAAATTGAAGATAATCCTTTTGGTAAAGGGGCCTATGCTTGGGTAAAATTAAATTAAATATTTTTATTTTAAATTAAAAAAGGTATATTCTGGAAGAATAATAACTCCTCAAATAATTTTAAATAATTATGGAAAAAGAATTTCTGAAGTAGTAGTTAAAGTAAATAAAAATCAAAAAGAGGATGAATTGGAAATATCTAATGAAATAAAAATTTTGGAGGAATTTAATAAATTGCCTATTTATGAAAGAGAGGGGATTATTGAACTTTATTTACAGTAAATTTAAATTTTAAAATATTTTTTAATAAATAATTTAATTAAAAAGTGGACAAACAATAAATTCAGAAGAGGATCGAAAAATAATATCACAAAAGAAAGAGAATAAAAATAAAATTTTATATAAAAAAGTTTTAATTTTGGAATATGGAGGGGTAGATTTACGTACAAAAATTGAGCAAATTGGAGAAAATTTTTATGAAGAAGAAATTTGGTTTTTAATTCAAAAAACACTTTTAGCTGTGAAAGATATGCACAGATGTTTGTTTTTTTTTCCTAAATTTTTAGTTTAAAAAAGCTTGTTAAAAATATTTTAATAATTTTTTAATTTTTTAAAGTAATTATGCATCTGGATTTGAAACCAGATAATATGGTATACACTTCGAATGGTTTAATTAAAATAATTGATTTTGGTTCTGGACAATTTATTCAAAATGAGGGTGAGGAAAACGAAAATAATAAATTAGCTAATTATTGTAAATTACTTACAATTCAATATACTACTCAAGTATATAGAGGTCCTGAAAATAATATTGTTTGTGACGGAGAAGAAAGTGGTGAACCGCGAGACAGAACTGGAGAAAATAAAGTAAAATTTTTACTTATTTTGTATTTAAAATTAAATTTTATACGGGGAGATTGCATTTACTACTAATGAGTCTTTTTGGAGAAACCAAAGAATAGGGCCAAATCATAAGAATATCTGAACATAATAGTATTGAGAGCAATTAATTTTAGAGCTTTGGGGGAATTTAGTGATTTTTTTTATTTAGTGACTTCCCAATTTAGTGATTTGAAAAAAATCAAGGGTGAGATACTCAAAAAATATTATGTAAAATTAAAAACTTGATGACGTTTAATATTTTAAATTTACCTATGTATATAAATAATCTTTTTCTTTTCTAGTTATCTACAAAAGCAGATATTTGGTCAATGGGGATTATTATTTTAGAATATATTTTAAATAGCCCTTCAATGAAAGGGCCATTGGAAATATTTAGATTTTTACGAGGGAATATAACAACTAATCATCGTATAGGTATTCTCCAAATATTAAAAGAATTAAATTTTTTCTACAAAATGAGAGAAAAGAAATGGAATAAGAGAATACAGGTATTTAGTAATTAATGGAAATTGTCATTTTAAAATTTAACCTTTTTGTGAAATTTCATTCTTACAAGCAGTGCTTCAAATTTTAGATTTACCCGTACTCGTAATCCATACCGGCTAGGAGGTACGAGTTTTTGTACGAGCGTCGAAGCACTGCTTGTGTGTGTCTGAAATGTGAAAAAAATTATAATTTTAATTTTCGAGAAAAACTATGTGTGAAGATAACAATTTAGGTATTTAGTACCCATCTAAACAAAAATAAATGTAAAATTAAATTTTTGTAAATAAATTTAAAATATTTTTTCTTTAAGAAAAGATTTGAAGTTTTTGTAAAAGAAGAATTAGAAAAAAGAAAGGGAAAATCTAAAAGTAGACATAACAGTAGTAGTAATAGAAGTTCAAGTACTAGTACAAGTAGTCAACAAAATGAATATCTTGAATATTTAAAACCTCCAGAAGAAAGTTATTTAGCTTATATTATTTTAATATTAAATATACAAAATACACATCCATTCATTTTTCGAATGGTAACAGCTTCATTAGAATATAATCAAATAGACCGTCCATCAGCTATTGGAATGTTAGCTTTTATGGAAGGAAAATGTTATTTTCGACATGAAATTAATAAAAGAAATAAAAACCCAATTTTTATTGTTCCAAAATTAATTTTTAAAAAATTGGATTCTTTAAGAAAAAAGAGAGAGGGGAGTGAACAACAAACTTTAAAAATTAATGGTAAATTAATTGTTTTAATGGTTAAATTTAATCCTTTAACATTCTTCACACTTAAGTATAATAAAATTAATCTTAATTAAAAATTTAGAAATAAAAAATAATGTTGCTGAAATGCTTACTAAATTATTAAAAAATAAAGGAATTGAAGAACAAAAAGAAACAAAAAAGAAATGGAATTGTTATGAATTCTTCTTAAATTGTTTATTGGGAAAAAAGAATAAAGACAAAGTAAATATAGAAGATAATGTAACAAAAATAGATTTAAGAAGGCTTAAATGGGATAACACAAACATTTTACACAAACCTCCACTTGTTGAATGTGATACTGAAAATACAGCTAAAGCAACATTTAATTATACAAAAAAGGAAATGGGCAAGAAGAAAGCAAAAAATATAAATGAAAAACACTCGGAAATGAGCGGATATGAGGGAGATGCTGGTGGTCGATCATCGTTTTCATTACCTTCAACTCCGATAAGGGAACAATTTTCGTCCCCAATAACTGACTATGAAACAAATCAATTGCTATCACCACAACGTTCATGGAGTGCAACACCAAAAAGAGAAGAATATTCGTCTTATACATTGAATGAAACTGATTGATAGAGTTACGAGTTCTATGTAGTCACAAAAAATACATTATAAACGCACATATAGGCATTACAAACCAGCCGGTTTAAAATGACTACCTTCCATAATTTAGTGTACGGCACGGTACGGTATACAGCGGTATTTTTTCCGGTATACCGATACCGTACCGGACAGAAAAAATACCGCGTTATTTCGGTAGTTTGAACTTATCAAAATTTTCGCCTTCGGCGCTGAAAAAGGAGGATATTGAATTCACGAATATATCCGGATAACAAAATCCGTGTCTAGTCCATACACTTATGGTTCAAACAACAAACTATTCAATGATTATTACAAAACTTTTATTTTTATTATAATATAAGATACAAAATTTGAAAAATTAATTTATATAGGTATTATACAAGGTATTTTTTGGTTTGTTGTAATTTTATGCTTGTTGACATTTTCTGCTCCCAACAGTGAGAGGGCTCTTATATGTGTTATACGTTTTTTAAATATAATCTATAAACAAAAATAATACCCTTTAATCGAGATCATAAAAATGAAAGGAATAATTATCAACGGAGTCATTATTTCCTTCAATCATGTCCTTATTTGATTATTTTGCACGGAAGATTTTAAACCAGGTATGGACCAGGGCTGAGTAATTTCGTTTCGTTTCGCTCTTTCGTGCCCTTTTGTCCATTTCGTTTCGGAACGAAAAAAAACTAAAATTTCAAAATTCTCGCCTGCGGCGCTAAGAATGGAAGAAATTGGGCTTCTTGACTCAAGGGGTGGATTAAGTTACCAAGTCCGATAACACACACTACAAAAAGGCTGCGTCTTTTATAGCAGTTAGCCCAAGCAGTTGGCCGGGGTTTAGAGTTAGCCGGGGTTTAGTTTAGTGATTTTTGAGTCATTAATTTTGTACCTCACTGTATATCTGGAGATTAAGTGGATTTTCAAGGGATATCTGAGATATCTCTTAATCGATTCCAGCCTAATCACCAAATATCGGTGGATTTGACGATAAAGTATAGTTGGAGATATTGCGTGTGTTTGAGAGGATATCAAGTATTAAAACGGATGTCCGTCGATTTAAAGGGATTAAAGTGGATATCAGTAGACTTGGAGAGTCCTCTCTTGATTCTGAGATGCTTTCATCACGAATCTGTCTCTTGGGGTATATTTATATTTAAATAGTGATTAAAACCTTTTTTAACTGAAAAATCAATATTTTAAATTTTTATTCTGTTTCGTTTATTTCTTTTCGCTCCGAAACGAAATAGAGTTTATTTTAGCTTTTCCTTGAAGTATTCTTCTGCAATTGTTCTATCTCAATAGAAATCTTTTTTTATTTTATATTTTAATTTTATTTTAATTTATATAATATAGTAGTAATAATTTTAATTTTTGTAATATGTAATTTAATTTTAATAATTAACCTAATTTTAATCTTTTTTAATAATAATTTTTTAAATAATATATAATTTTTTAATAATATTTTCAATAATAATTGATTTTTTATATTTTTTATATATTTTAGATTTGATTTTTATATTTTATTTGTACCATACTTGTTCATGAAATGTTTATAGCTTTCCTCTTTGTTGATTCTTTAAAATAATAAAAAAACTTATAAATAATTTAAATAATAATTTTAATACTTTATAATATTATAAAATGTATTAAAATTATTATTTAAATTATTTTAAGTTTTTTTATTATTTTAAAAAATCAACAAAGAGGAAATCTATAATTTTTTTAAAGAATAAGTGTGGCATCGACACATTTAAAATATAAAAATCAAATCGAAAATATATAAAAAATATAAAAAATCAATTATTTTATAAGATATTATTAAAAAATTATATATTATTTAAAAAATTATTATTAAAATATTGGTGATTAAAATTAGGAATAATTTAATTACAGGGTGCGCCATAAGTAACCGGACACTTGTTTTCTCTCATAACTTTATTAAAACACAATCAAATAAAATCGAAATACAATCAAATGATAGAGAATTAAATAGGGAACAAAAATAATCAAGAAGTTTCGAAATGCCCACCCTTGGCTTTGATCCAAAGGCGAAGGCGTGAAGAAAAATTTTCGCTGATAGCACGCACCCCTTTGAGTGTAATTAAGTCCACACTCGAGTGAGAGAATGGCGCAGAGACTCCAAACTTTTGTGAGGCATAGCACAGACCCTGGACTCCAAAATAGACCAAAAGTATAATCCATCGGATTCAAATCCGGGGAGTATGGCGGCTATTCCTGAGCGCTAATGAACCCAGGAAAATTGACGTTGCACTAGTCTTTAACTTCTTTCGCTTTGTGTTCCGTAGGAGAGTCCTGTTGGAAAATCCAGACTCTGTGACCGAAATGGCTCTTGAACCGAGGCTTCAGAACACGCTGAAAAAATTTTCGCAGTTAATAGTCTTTGTTGACTTTTACCCCAGGATCCACGAAAATAAGGGGTTTTTTGCCTGACGCGCAAATACCGGCTTAAACCATGACAGATTGGGGATGTTGGGAATGAGTGATAAGCTTATCGGAAAGCGGAGATTCTGTAGTCCAGATCCTATAATTTTGATGGTTGTGAACGGCTTATATCGTAAAAATTTTTTCGTCTGATAAAAAAATGTCCGTACATGCGTGCCACTGAAGGAGCAGTTTGCATCTTTCAAGCCTAACTTTTTTGGGTACTATGCGTTTATATCCCCCCATGTCCGCAGAAGTTTGTCCGCACTTTTTCCTTCTTTCTCCTCTCATAAGGATTAAAAATGGTAAGTATTAATAAACCCACATTTTCTTTTCTCCTCCTTGCTTCTTCCTTTCTCATAAATATTAAGAATGGTCAAGTAAAAATAAAGATCAAGAATTTTCTTGTAGATTCTAAAAAACTCAAATACGATAAAGTATCATTCATATAAAATGACAGCCGGTCCAAAAAATCCGAGTCGGTCCAAAGTGACCGACTCGGATCGAAATATCGAGTCGGGCCTATGATATTTGGCACGGAAACACCCTCGGACATAACAATATCATTCCAATCTAACAATGATTTTAAAATGAATCTTTTTGAAAAAGGTCCTAACAAGACTCATACGGCACGACTCGATAAAAATAAGGCCCGAAAAAAAGACTAGACCGACGGCCGACACGAAAATAGCAACCCTATTTATGAGAAAAGAGTAAGGAGAAGAAAAAGAAAATTTGTGTTTATTAACTTGACCATTTCTTCTCCTTATGAGTGGAAAAAGAAGAAAGAAGGAAAAAAGTGCGGACAAACTTTTGCAGACGTGGGGGGATATAAACGCATAGTACCCTTTTTTGGTTTTTTCTGTGAGAAGTTGTGCTTTTTGGATTTTGTAGGGGTTTAACCCAAGTTCGTTTTTAGCTATTCGTCTGACGGTCCTCTCACTTATTCCGGTGTCACGAGCCAATTTTCTCACGGAGGGTCGATAATTGAGATGCACCCTCATTTTGATCATTTTAATATTCTTGGAAGTGCTGATGGAATGCGAACTTTCACTTTTTTGTAAGTTCTTAGTTGTGCCATTATTACTTAATTAATTTCAAAAAAATTTTCTCCCAAAAAATTTTCACCAGAATTTTTTGATTGTGTATTGTACAGTGCTATTTGGGACATTCAAAAGAGATGAAATTTTGCGGACTGAATTTTTTGCGAAAAAAGTGAAACTATGGAA